CAGTGTTTCACCACCCTCATGGTGAAGAATTTCTTCCTGATATCTAATCTAAAACTGCCCTCTTTTAGTTTAGAGCCGTTCCTCCTTGTGCTATCACTACACATCCTTGTAAAAAGTCCCTCTCCACTGAACTAATTACTTGTGAAAAGTCCCTCTCCATTGAACTAATTATTCAATCTATTATCACAGTTAATATATTCCTGAAAAGAGGTACCATACTATACGCCATACTACAGAGCATACCACACTACAGAGTACTATTCATTTTAATTCCAGAAAAATGGTTCTAATCATATTGCTATGATTCATCACTAGGAAATCTGCTGAGGGATCAGAGTTGCACTGTGCATGACCCTGTAAATACATAGAGATATATATATAAAATATATTAATTTATTTATATGTAAATATTTATTTATGAATTTGAAAATTGCACATTGCAGTCACTACACTGGCACATTCAGAACAGCACGTACCCACCCAGTATGTCTAAGTACCTGTTATAAACTTAAACACTCTATTTAACAATTGGTTTCTCATTTTGTTCCTAGAACTTTTTTCCATAGAAAGCCAACATGAAGTACTTACGATTATTTTCTCCCTTACCTTTTTTTATAGAAATGAGAGGTGGACAGAGATCAGTGTCGGGTTTCGGAGAAAGCTGCGCTGCTCTCAGTTGTTCTGATTTCCTGCTGTGCAGAGTGACCAGCAGAGGAACGAGGCTCGACTCTTCCCCCCAACTCAGTCTCACCTCCCACAGTCTCCTCCATCTCCAACACCACACAAAAATCAACCTAAACCAACAATATAGAAAATGACCTGACAATGTAACATCGTAACAGCTAATCACACCTTCAGTATTTTTATCCCTGTTATAGCACCAATACGAGAGACTAGCAAGGAAAACAAAACAAAAAATTTTGGTTGCTAATTTAAAACGAGAACATCTAAGCAGTTTACAAAATAATAAAAGCTCATTAACAAAACTCTGTTCCTAGTTGCATAACTGTGATTTCTCTCTCATGAGACTGCTGCAGGTGGGAACTCACGCATTGAGGGTCAGGTTAAGCTCCTTCTTACACAACAGCTGGAGGTCCCACGGCAAAGCACTGGGCGCAGAGTTCCGGCTGAGGCACTTGGTTAATCTCAAGTGCGTTTTTAAGCCTGCGGTCTGCCTGGGCACTTGGAGTTGCTAGCAGCTGCTATGACAACCCCTACACAAACCCAGCTAACAAGCCAGTCCCCAGGAGGCACCTCCTCTGTCTCCATTTCCTCTTGTATCCACCAACCCTGTGCTAACTTCATAACTACTTGTCTTTTTAAATGCACCATAGCTTTCCCTTACATATAAACTAGATGCCAAGCAAGCAGCTTCCGTAAGCCTCGGCATTTCTGGCGTGCAGAGCTGGGGGAGGGTGCAGCTTGCTGCGGCAGCCATGCTCTTCTCTACTTGGCCCTTCTCGGCACGGCAGCACCCAGGTTCTGGGCAACGTGTGAAAAGCCACGGCCGAGGCACCGGGCTGTGGGAGGACTTTCCTGTTCCCTCCACCGGGCAAAGCCACTTCCACACCGATCCAATGGGCACCGCACACCACGCAGCGCACCCACCCGCAGCACCCTTACTTCGCACGCTTCCTTTCTCCAGGCGATACCCAACCCCCAAGCCTTCACCGCAGTGGGCGGCCATTCAAATGCAAAGCTTTAATACCTCAAAGGACTTCTGCGTTTTATTTTTTTAACCGATCTCAGTGACCTTGAGTCAGGCCCCACAAGCACTGACAGCGCCCTCGATGCCCAGACTGTAAGAAAACGAGGGAGGAAGATGAGGGGGCGCGCAGGCTCCA